CACCATCCTGTGGCACCTCAGGACAAAGCTATAGTTAGCATCATCAGGCTTACAAGGGGAAGATGTGCCATATCTGCATTCCCCTGACTTCTAGGAGCACGTAGGGTAGACTGCTGCAGGCATCCAATGATGGAAGGAGGAAGGTGGAAGGATACATGCAGGTCAGATCAGGCATATATGGTTCAGGATAGATCAGCCTGCTGGGAGACAGAGAGCAGGGCTTAGCGATCTTGTCGGATCAAGGTCAGCATGATTTCTTTGCTCTCAGTGCCTGCAAATTAGTACTCTCTGTAGTTACCTATTTTATATTTACTCCTTGGTACTGGCTGCTAAATATACTCTCATGATGTGGTCAGGGTCATAAGAGCATCCTGCTTATCAGCTCTAGTTTAAGTTCCACAGAGGCCCAATCACAGCTCTCTTGGCCTGGGATCATTCACCACTTATTAATATTCTCTTGATGTAACAAGTGTTGATGGACGATATGTCCAAAAGGCAAGACGTTTTTCTCCCTCCCGGACTTTCCTACGCTTTGCTGCTGCCCAATTTCCTTCAAGCCTCTGTACTGTTCCTCATCTGCCTCATGACTCTCTTTGAAATGCGCACGTGGTTGTGCTAACTTATTTTTGGAATCCTCGTAAGCATGTATAGAATGTCTAGGTCATAACACTTTTGCCCAGCAGCGCATAGATTCGGAATGCCCTGATTGACATGACGGCCAGGTCACATTGCTTTGGACTGAGCAGCTCCCAGATTTGGAATGCCCAGAAGGAGGTGTTCAAGAATCATTATGCCCATCCTAACAGCACACATTCAATATATCTGGACTGGCCAACTGTCCCAGATAATAAAAATCACTTAGGAGAATCACAGCTTGCTAGAGCCATAAGGGAACAGGAAATTCATTTAGTTCAACACTCTTCATTTGACAAACAAGGAACTGAAACCCAAGGACATGAAGTGACTCGATCCAGGTCACAGGAAGAGTGAGATGCAGAGGCTTAGCTAGAACTCAGGCCACTAATGCAGAGATCTTTTCCCCATGCCATTCCCCTGCTGGAAATATGAGTCTTGTTAGACTGAGCCCAATGCTGTAGCTTTTCAAGATTTTTTTTTTGTTGTTGTTATCCTGACTCTTGTTATCCAGTGTGCTAACATCTCTCCTTCAGGTCTGTGTCACCTGCAAAACTGATAAGAATGTCAACCATATCTTTATCTGAGTCACTGATGAAAACGTTAAATTGCCAAGCATAGATTCTTGGGGCAGTCCTGTGAAGACTGCTTTCCAAGTTGGTCTTTCTCTAAGGTTCTTTTCACTTTGGTGGGCGGTACATAGAAATGAAGAAGAGGCCAGAGGCTTTTCATTTTATAAAAGTAAAGAAATTCACCATCGGCCTTAGTCCTGAAGCATGATGTTTCATTTAGACCCATAATGGCAATTCTAAAAGGCTCAGGATCTTACCCAAGGCCTATCTGGTAACTAAATCATGTAGGATCTTGTAAGATCCTTCAGCAATCAGGTGCCCTTTGGGGCAAAAAGGGAAATCACTGCTTCAACCTAATTCTGGGGTGAAGTAGGCAATCCTTCGGAAGGGGCTTTAGAAAGCTGAGATGTTTGTATAGTGCGTGTCAGCTTACACGGAGTGCTTTACATACATGATCTCTTTAGATCCTTACAATAGCTTAGTAAAGAAAAGGTCACAGAATTCCTGACTGGCACTGAAATCCAGGTCTCAACCCTCTCAGGTCAGGGCTGTTTCTACTATATCATGCTGCTTCTAACTGATTGTTTCCATGACCAATAAACTAGGGGGTGGGTGGGGAGGGGTGTGAAAGAGATGTTCCCAAGGCCTAATCCGAAAAAGTCCTCGGACCTTGAGCCAAATCCCCAACTGCCTCGGAGGAGACAGGCCCTTTGTTCCCAGGAGATCGACACAGCAAACAGCAGAGGATAGTATTAATACCCTTCTCTCCAAAACAAAGTTCAGCTCCAGGGTCTAATGTTTAAGTTTTCCTTCTTCCTTTCCTCCCTGTGGATCCCCCGGCCACTCCTTCCTATGCTAAGAGCTCTTGTTAGCAGAGTGGATGGCTAAATGAACTGCAGTTTTCATCTGTTTCAAATATTGGGTCATGACAAAAAGAATTACCCTTTTTTTCCACGAGAGGAAGAGGCACTCCAGTTATGGGGGGCCCCTGGAACAATCTGGGGGATTAAGAAGGAAACTGAAGCAACTCATTCTTGGAGCTGGGCTCGGCAGTTACCCAGCTCTAGGGTCCATATTGAGAACTAGACCCTAGAGGTTCTGTCCCTGCCCCCAAGACCCTGAATCAAGGAGGCTAGGAATAATCTCGTCTCCTGCCTGAGCAAAGAAATGCCCAGAATAAAAGCAGAAAACAGATTTGGCTGCGTTGGTAATGGAATAAGAAACTGACCACTTTGATGTATTTATTTGGCAGAAGCTGGTTTGCACTGGAAGGGGCATCCTGGAAAGGCGATCAGACAGTTCATGGGCTGGGTACAGGAAGGTTCTGCGCAACAGACGCCAAATACACACACCAAAGCATTTCTATCTATAGATACACGCTTAGCACACACATAATGCATACACTAGTATTTATAGAGTGAAGTCTTCTATACGTAACGATGAAGTCAACGACCCCCCTATTCCTAATATAGGACCATGGGTAGGGGTGTTCTGGTAAATGGTCAATAACTAGTTCTCCAAAAAAAAGTATGCCTGACGTATTTTTAAATTTAACCTGCGTCATTAACTACTTTTGTTCTCCATTGCTTTCTTAAGTCTAGACAATCAACAAAACAATTAATCCAGCTCTGATTTGTAGTGTTTGCTGATTTCTGGAGCATAAATGCTCACGATGAACATGTAACAATCTTCTCTCGTGAGCTGATCAGAGATGGCTCCTGCACACCACTGAATAGGTCTGAAACTGCATGAGAACCTCAATTCATCATGTCCACCCCACCTAATACAAGTGAAAAAACTGAGGCTGGGAGGTTAAGTGACTTTCCAAAGGTCTCAACGTAAGCATCAGAAGTGGGAGTTGAATCCAAATCTTCTGACCTTGAATCAGTGTTTTCTCCAGTAAATACTTTTAAAAAGTTTATTGAGTGATTTTGATTTGTTTTGCCTGGATTAGCGACAGATCTGCGCTGATCAGTCGTATTTCTTTGCCCAGTTCTTTGTAGAATTACAGAGACCTGTAAGGGACTTTGGAGATGTTCCAGCTGAACATCTTCATTTGACAGGTGAGGAAATAGGCTCAGAGAGGTGAGGTGATTTGCCCAAGGTCACACAGCTAGGAAGTGGAGCTGGACCCAGAACTTAGGTTTCCCAGCTTCTGATAGGTGATCATGACATTATCTTGTCTCTCTTGAGACTGATACTTGTGACTGTCAACCAAGGTGAGGGTTAGCCTGTGGCCAGTAACAAGCTAATTAACCCTCTGGGAGTTAATTCCAATGCAGGAGCTTGGGATCCCTAGCATAGCCGATCACAAGAACTAAAGAAGGTTTGCCTGGTGGGGAGTGTTTTTCCTCACATTCAGTTGCCAGTCTTCATCCAGCAGCTGTGGAAATACTGGAGGGGGAATCACACCTGGCCCACCCATTTCACCCTCTCCCATTCCGTAAAGAGGATGCTGATGTCAGCAACTCACAAAACTAATGAGTCCTTGGTGAAAGCCGATGGCCTCAGAATCAGGAGAATCTGGGTTCAAATCCCACCTGATTTACTAGCTGTGTAACTGTAGGCAAGTCACCGAGCCTGAGTCTCAGTTTCTCTTTCATAAAATGGAGATAATAATGCCAGCAAATCCCTGCCTCATACTATGGTTGTGGGGCTCAAATGAATAAATCAACATAAAACACTTTGTAGAGCTCAAAGCCTATATAAATGCCAGCTATTATTATCAATAACAACAACAGCATTGCTAGTATTTGGCGTTTAAAGTTCTTGCAAACTGACCCTATCCTGCCATTCCAGGATTATGACACATTACTCCCCTTCTGATATTCTACAGCCAGCCAGCCAGCCAGACACCCAAACTGACCCCACTGCTTCTCCTTGCACAGGACACACCATCTCTGCTCTCTTTGCTCTGCACTGACAGTTCCTCATGCCAGGAATGTTCTCCCTCTTGAATTCTATGTTATCGCTTTCTATGTGGGCTATTTCTTGGTAGCCCCAGATGCTAGTACCTTCCCCCCCTGGGTTGAATCTCTCTGGCAGGTTTTAAAATTTGTACACATAGGGGCAGCTAGGTGGTGTAGTGGATAGAGCACTGGCCCTGGATTCAGGAGGACCTGAGTTCAAACCCGGCCTCAGATGCATAACACTTACTAGCTGTGTGACCCTGGGCAAGTGACTTAACCCCATTGCCTAGCCAAAAAAAAAAAAATTTGTATACATATATGTATATATACACATACGATATATATGTATATATATGTGTTGTGTATATATGTGTATATATATATATGTATGTACATATATTTGTAGACACCTATATCTCAGAAGGAGAGAGATTCTATGAAAGATGTTCTTGCTAAGGCCTTCAATTGAATATAAACTCCTCGAGGGCAGGAATTGTTTTGGTTTTGGTTTTGTTGCCCTAGCATCTAGAACAGTGAGTGCATGCAGTTAGTGCTTAATATCTGTTGATTGATTAATACGGTTTCCTAGCAGAGTAGTTTGGAAAACCTTACTTAGAAGCTGTTGGAGGGGGGACAGCTAGGTGGCACAGTGGCTAGGGTACTGGCCCTGGAATCAGGAGGATCTGAGTTCAAATCTGACCTCGGGCACTTGACACTTATTAGCTGTGTGACCCTGGGCAAGTCACTTAACTCGGATTGCCTCACCAAAAAAAAAAAACCAAACCACAAACCTGCTAGGGAGGCGAGAGAAAGGGATTATTTCCAAGGTTCTTTCTCTAGTTTTCTGATATGCGTGGCTTTTTTCTCTTCTCTCCTCTTTCTGCAGATAAGATTCTAGTTCACTGTGCTATGGGCCGTAGTCGCTCGGCTACCTTGGTCTTGGCATACCTGATGATTTACAGGAACATGACAGTGGTGGAGGCCATTGAACAAGTCGCCAAGAATCGCTGTGTTCTGCCCAATCGTGGGTTTCTCAAACAGCTCCGGGAACTGGACAAACAGCTTCTCCTCCAAAGGCAGAATGCTCAGTCTAATGAAGAAGAGAACTTGGAAGAGAAAGAAATCTAAGGCTTGAAGACCCCTTCACACACAGTTGCCCCAAAATACTCTGTGCTGGAGAAACATATTTTTAAAAAGACAAACAAAAACCCCAACAGTCCCTTAAAGTCCTTTGGCACGAAGAAGGAAAACATGGAAGCGAGCCATTATTTCTTTGGAATCGTTTTAAGCATCACAGAGAGCACTATGGAGCATTTTAGGAGATCCTATAAAACCTACACTCCCTAAGCTGCTACCCTTCAGGGTTTAAATCTTTGTTTCACAACAAGAGGAAAAGGCAAAGGATTTTATTGTGGAATCGGCTGCAGATGAGCATGTAGCGCTTTAGTGAAACACATCAGTCTGTAATGGGGAGGTGGGAATGATTGGAAAACGTAGAAACTGTGCTACGATTCAAACTTCTGGTCCTGTCTTGGAGGAAAGGCACGTTTTCCCATGGACCATTTTTTCTTTTTTTACAACACAAATTTTATAGCAACCAAAAAGCGGGCTTAAGGCATTAGGGGTGTGTTACAAGAGTGTCATGTTAACACATCACCACCTGTGGGTATTTCCCGATTCTCTTTCCATATCTCTGTTCATAGTGCCGAGCACTGTCCTTTCATCATCTCATCCTGGGCCACCCAGGATCTGTTCTGGGCTTACTGCAGCATTCATTAATGCTACCTTTGGGGAGTGATTACCTGAGCAGGCTGGTGCACGTGCAAAATGGCCCTTACCAGAATTTACAACCTAGCTTCCTAATGCCTCATCTGATAGGTCTGACACAAATACCCAGACTCACTCCACCTCTCTATAGTTACAAAGAACAGATGAGTCTGAAAGGGTCAGGGTAGAATAAAAGCAAGAATAGGGGTCATCTGTCAATTTCTTTTTTCTGAGAGATCTTTTCCTATCCCACGCATGGAATCATATAATATTAGAGCTGTAATGGATCTTCAAGTACATCTAGTCTAATTTTCTTACTTTACAGATGAGGAAACTGAGGCACTGAGAGTGTAGTTTGCACAAGGTCAGATAGCTAACCTGGTGCCATAGTAATTACTAGAACCTAGATCTCTATTTACTTTTCCCATTTTACCATACTGCTTTTCTTAAAAAGGAGTTGTATTAAAATAGTAGCTTTAAAATCAGTAGTAGCGGCAAGTTAGGTGGTGCAGTGGATAAAGCACTGGGCCTGAAGTCAGGAAGACCCAAATTCAAATCTGGTCTCAGACACGTACTAGCTATGTGACCCTAGGCAGGTCTCTTGACCCTTTTTGCCTCAGTTTCCTCATCTCCAAAATAAGCTAGAGAAGGAAATGACTAACCACTCCAGTATCTCTGCCAAGAAAACCCCAAATGGGGTAATGGTCAGACCCAACTGAAAAACAACAAAAATTAAAGTTAGGAGCTCAGAAACCTGAGTTCTAGTCCTGAACTATGTCTCACTTAACCTCTCTGAAGTAGGTAAATTTCCATTTATTTCATCTTCAACTTTTCAGTGACCTAGCAAGAATATCTCTTCTAAGTCTTAACAACTGATGCAAAGTGAAGTTAGCACAACCAGAAGAACAGTGTACCCAGTAACAGCAATATTGCATGATGATCAACTGTGGAGCCTTAGTTATTCTCAGCAATACAGTGATCCAAGACAATGCCAAAGGACTCCTGATAAAAAAATGCTTATCCACCTAAAGAGGAAAGAACAGATGCAGGAGTCTAAATGCAAATTGAAGCAAATTTTAAAAAAAGGCAAAAAACACCTTTTTTTTTGGTCTGTTTTCTTTTGCAAAATGGCTAATATGGATATATTCTCCATCTCTACACATGTATAACCTATATCAAAGTGCTTGCCTTCTCTTCCCAATGAATGGGGGACATGTGGGAGGGAGGGAATTTGGAACTCAAAAGTTTTAAAAACAAATGTTAAAAAGTTTTTACATGTAATTGGAAAAAAATAAAATATTAAAAAATTAAAAAATATATTTTTTGTAGAAGTTCTCTGCCTCATCTATGAGCTGGAGACAATACTTACACTACTTACCTCACAGAGTTGTTTTGAGGGGAGTACTTTGTAAAACCTAAAGCACTATATGAATGTAAATTGTTATTATTAATTAATTTTACTAATAATGAGCTGCGTGAAGAACAAGATTGATGCTGGAGTGGTACAATTTAAATTTTAATGTCCTTTTTTCACTCACTGTCTGTAGGACCACTCTAATCTACATGGCAGATACACCCTATACTACTAAGAGTTCTGGGATGGATTGGCTATAAGCTATAATATGGAGGAATTCTATATAGTGGAAGAAATGACCAAAATCTAAAAGAATTAGAGGGAAGTCTAGATCTACCTGGATAAAACTCTCCCCACCAGACACACCAAAAACTTTATCCAATGAGACACAAATAGATTTGGGATTAAAATTTTTAGCTGCTGATCTGAGAACTAATACCTAAAGGTTGAAAAATGAAATAAATTTAATATATCTTAGACCTTGGACCTACAAATTTAGGAGAAAATGGGAAAGGGTGGGGAGGGACTTCTGGAACTGGAACTCTGCATAGAACTGCATAGAATGAGTCAACCACAAAGGCCGGCTTGTCTTCTGTAAGAAGTGACTATACCCTAAATTACATCTTTGTTAAGTAAGTGGTAAAGTCATCTTCCTGAAGGGTAAGTAAATGGGCTAAGAATGTTTAAGTGCCAGTCGATTTCCTTTCTGGAGGCAAACATGGTGATAGTGACAGTACAGCTTGATAACAGATATCAGGGATTTCAATTTAGATGAAGCACGATGACAGACACTATCTGGGATGCCATATATTGAGAACAGAGACAAGACGTAGAAGAAAGCATACCCTATGATAACTTTTTTTTAAAGGCTGATAACCCGAGAAGAAAATGGGACCTTTTCTGAAACAGGGAGCATTAGCCAAGTTTAAAATGAGTTCCTGATGGTGGGATTTGGATTGAATTTACATACAGGGAGGCACATCTTTGGGACTTTGGGGCAGACCTTTGTGGTTGGTTGGTTCTTAGAAGGGAAAAAACAACAGAGACTTGAGCCCCTGGATACTCTGATCTGTAATCTGCTCTCCCAAGAAAGGGCCTGAGCTGATGGGGGGCACATAGAATGCACCTCAGTGTTAACACGTATGAAAAGGGTGTTAATACCTATAATGATTCTATGAGAATACTAGTTTAAAAATAATTTTAAAAACAAATTATTCTGTAAAAAGTCCCAAATTGAAAGCCAAACATCATTGTGAAATGAAAATTTGAATGTGCACAATAAACCAGTAACTCTCACAGGAATCTAAAAGGGGAAATGCTGACTAAAATCTGTCAAATGTTGGTGGGTATGGGAATAGTTGGACAACACATGATAACCTTATCAGGATGTCTATAGAAGGAAAAAAAGAATCAAACTTTTAACTAATGATGAAGTTCCAAATTATTGAATAAGGTCAGGATAAGTTAAAACTAAAAACTGTCCGGAGAAGGGAAAATACGCCCAAACACTTTAATAGCGTAACAATCCTAAACAGATTGAAAGTGGAAGGGTAAAGAGGGCACACTGGAGTTGAAGGGAAAAGGTCTGAGTTGGAGCCAAATTTTGCTGTTTGCCAGCTATGTGGGAACCTCTATTAACTTCAATATCCTCATAAAGAAAATGGCAATATCTGCTTTTTATGGGCTGTTGTGAAGAAAATAGGTAATAAACTTCATAAAGTTGTGGTGATGCCATAGCACACAGAGTACTATACCTGGGGTCAGGAAGACCCGAGTTGAAATCCAGCCTCAAACATTATGTTGTGACTCTGAGCAAGTCATTTAACTTCCTCCTGCCTCAGTTTCCTCATCTATAAAATGGGGATAAGTAATAGCATCTACCTCGAAGAATTGTTACGGCGTTGAAATGAGATATTTGTAAGGTGCACTGCAAAATTTACAAGAGCTATGTAAATGCTAGCTATTATTTTTTTTAAATGTATGTATCTTGTTTAAAAGAAATGGAAAAGAGAGGAAAAGAATTGAGGCCTCATGTCCATCCTGGGTTCTACTAGACCTCCACCCTTGAGGTGGCTTCTGGGGTCAACTCTCTACTCCCCATTTGTGCAGAGGAACACAGTCCTGAGGGAAGATGGGAATTCCAGAGTGCCTTCTCCTTCCGTGGTGAGTTGTGGATTTAAGTCAGCTAAGCAAATAAAGGAGTAAAAACATCAGCTCTAAAGGCTTCATGTCCTTCACATTTACACATCCTACTTCCCATTCTCCCCTCTTATCCACAACCAGAGAGCTTCTGTCTTTATATCCCCAGTGCCTGGCACAGCACCTAGCTCATAGTAGGCACTTAATACATGCTCGTTGATTATAAATGTAGGATCAGCAATTATTCTCAACTTAGTCTTAAGAGAAGTGGTGTGGGGGCATAAAGCAAAGTGCTCAGGGTCACACGGGAAGGAAATGTCAGAGATGGTATCACAGTTCATATCTTCAAAAGTCCAGCAATTTCACCACGATAGGATTATACTTCAATGACAATATGCAGACATGTACAGATCTGCCATTAGATACACGTGCCTCCAAACATCCATCTGCAGCCTTTTATTTTGAGATCGCTCAAAAAAAAAATTCCTAAATAGCAATGACTCACAATGACTTTCTACACTGCCATGGATACTCCTAATGTATACATTTTCTAGTAAAAAAAAAGCCCTACACTTTCTTTCAGAAGCAACGATGATACCAATTTGATACAAAACCATTGATTTCAGAGAAGACAAAACTTGCTTAGCAAATAAGACTCTTCTAGAGCCACAGACTTTGAGAGCCAGAAGAGAACTCAATAGAGCTGAATCTCCAATACCCAGCAAGCTGCTGCCTCACCTCTTCCTGAGAAGTAGCTTAGTAACTCTCGAGACGGCCTATTCCATTTTGGGACAGCTCTGGTTGTTAGGGAGACATCTCTTAAAATGGTCTCTTTTGGGTTCCCATCATCTGCTTCTGGTTCTGCTCTCGGAAGCCAAACAGAACAAGCCTAACCCCTCCTCCAAATAAGAGTGCTCCATATACTTTTAGACAGCTATCATCCCCCCCACCCCCACCCTTAGTTTTCTCTTCTCCTGGCTAAACATACCTAGTTTCTTCAACCATCCCTCATACGACATGAACTCAAGGACATTTACGATCCTAGTTACCTTCCCCTGGACCCTCTCTACCTTAATATTCTTCTTGAACTGGGGTGCTTAGACTTGAATACAGTACTCCAGATGAGATCTGACAGAGGTAGAGTACAGTGGGACTATTGCCTTGCCATTCCTGGAAGCCATGTCCCTCTTAATGCAGTTAAAGGTCAGGTTTTTTTGGCTGCCGCATCATACATCTGGCTCATATTAAACACAGTCCACTAAGACCTCCAGATCTTTTTCAGAACAATTGATATCTAATCATCCCTTCCCAATCTTATACTTGAGAACCTGATTTTTTTTTGTAGCTAAATGCATTTATCCTTATTGAAATTCATTAGAGATTCAGCTCTATGCTCTATCTTGCCCAGAGGCTTCTGAAGCCTGACCCTCTCAATCACCTGAGTTATCACCTGCAAATGTGACAAGCATACCATCTATGCCTTTAAATGACACAGATCCCTAGGGCACCCCTGTCATGATGACTTTGAGCTGTCATTTAACCATTTCTGAACCTCTATTTTATCAAAGGCTTTTCTAAAATCTAGGTAAAATATATCCAAAGCCTTCTCATTTACCAGTTTGGTAATCCTGACAAAAAAATTCAGGTTACTCTGGCATGACCTATTCTTGTTTGAGGCCACATTGGCTCTTGGGAATCCCTACTTCCCCTTCTAGATGTTTCTTCACCATTTCTTTAGTGATTTGTTCTAAAAATTCCCCAGGAATCAAATCAAGCTCATTGGCCTTCAGACCATTCTAGTAGGTTGGGTTTTTTTTGGGGGGTGGTAGTGGTTATAGGAATTGGGACATTTGCTGTTCTCCCATTTTCAGATATGTCCTCTACATTCCATGTTATTTTAAGCATAACATGGACAGTGGTTCAGCAGTCCTTTCAAGAGTCAAGGATTTAAGTTTATCTGAGCCAGGTGCCTTGAATTCATCAAGGGTATCTCAAACAAACCTATTAGGGTGAGAGGAGATGAAACACTCCAATTGCTTATTGAAGCTAATGAAGCAGCTTCCTCTCTTGCAGTTACTCTTCCCTAGAAATGAATTTTGTCATGATCAGATTTCCTTCCCAAGGTCATCAAGTTATTTTTTTTAGAAGTCAAATTTCTTCTTAGCTTCTGACTTAACAATTTTGAGGTCTTCCAACCAGTGTACCTCACCTGAAATAAACCCTCCTAACAAATTCAAAGATATTCCTAAAAGGTCTCTTACTTATCTCTGCGAGGTTGAAGGTACAGAGAAACTAAGGTAGGTTCCTCATATACTGAATGAGCACAGCAACCTAAGCTTCCTAAGAAGTCAACACGTGACCTGGCTATTTTCCTAATTAAATTTAACATCGTATTTTCAAATGCTGACAAATCCAAACTGCAGACTTTTTGGCTCCTCAGCCTGGACATATTTAAGCTTCAGTTGATTTCCCCAAGGACCTCAGACACCTTGAGACAGGCAGGTGGGAGGTGAGCACAGGTTATGTATGAAAGAGATTCCAGTGAGTGATCCAGAAATGCCTCCTTTCAATTAAAACCTTCTTTTCCCCAGACTGTCTTGTGGCAGTCGGGCCCAGGATGCACGGTATAGACAGCTACCAATTTTAATCAGACATAGAGTCTGATCAAACAACACTCCTATATGACTGGCGTGCTGTCTATAGAGGCTGATGGAAACCTTAGCCTCACAAGGATTTCAAATTATGATGAATGGGAGATGAACTCAGGAGTTCTGATTAAAATACAAAAGCTGCTAAAGATAAGACACGGACTCACTTCATCAAAATAGGTGATTAATAAATGTTTGCTGAGTAAATGAATTATGTGCTGCCTGTTTTATTTTTTATATTTTGCTTTGACACATACATTATGAGGCTTGTATGGCATCTGGTATTTTGCTGAATGACAGTGAGATTATACCTACTGTCGCTTAATAAAACAAGAATAAATCTGATTAATTACTTTGCAGGAACACACTGATTATGACACCCAATGCTAGCTATGAGGAGGTTCATTTTGAGTTATGTTAGATGGGACAGTAAATAGGATCTAAATCACTAATTAATCTCCTAACTGGTGGCTACAAGAATTCTAACTTCTATATAATGCACAAGAACTTCTTTCTTTCTGCTAATTACATAGAATGGTCTTTGCTCACATTCTGTTGCTGTCAGTCACTGATTAATATTTTGGGGTCTTGAAGAAAAAAAACATTCAGTAGTGACAATTTCAACCAGTTCTTTAAGAATAGTTTTTCCTTTTCAAGAATGCAATCCCCGAGTCAGTTGCACTTCATGATAAGTTTTTAGGAATCACCGTTAAAATGACATCGCTGTGAGGTGTATTTATAATGGCTGTGTGAATGGAGGCATCAGTACGCTCTCTATTTGTACAGGTTTCCTTTGCAAATGAAGATCAAAGTCAAAAAGAAAGAAAACAAAGCAACTTTATTTTAAAGACAATGACTGGCATACAGAATGTATGCACTGGCATAAAATAAACTTCTTTCATGAAAAGCATTAAAATCCATATAAATTAATTTATTAAATAGATATTTGGTATTGTCACGCTTTTATTAGATATTACTTTTATTTAGTGGTATTTTAAAAAACAAAAAACCTCCCCAACAACCCAGAACTCCAAATTGATGCTAAATAACTTATTTTCCCCAAATGTGTATGTGTTCTGAGATGAAGGCAGTGTTTAAGCTACAGAGATGTAACAAACAATACAGCTCAGTTGGTCATTTTCTGTTAATCATCATAATATGACAAGACACAAGAGGCTAAAAATGGCTCATCATAATTTATTTTATGTTAAAATGTACAGCTTTTTTTTTTCTTTTTGAAGTGACTGACTAAAAAGAGAACAGATAAATACAAGAGTGTCGCTGGCTCCTATTTTATACATGGATTACGCCTCTTCTGCTGGGCCCTTCCAGTCACCCTGTACAGGTACAAAGGCTACAAAAAAGGAAGCGATATAAACAGACACAAATACCTTTTTGCTTTTTTACATGCGATTTGTAAGCTTAGTTTGGGCTATTCACAAGCTACTGCTCTATTTTTCCTTAAAAAATAACTCCCATATTTTATAAAGATAGAAAAATCTACAGATGGAATGAAAATGTAAAGTTAGAGGCATTTCCATAAAATAGCAACTTTACACCAAATTCACTTTTTTTTTAAATGCTGCCAAGTATTTGGACATATATGAAATGTTTCAAAACTTGACAGATAAACACTGAGATATGCTTCATTCCATAAACAGAAGTCTGCATTTATAAAACAGAAAGCTGCCTTTTTTTCCCCAAAGAAATCTGTCACCAAAATGGGAAAGGGTCTTAACTTTACACCAAACATTTAGCAATAAAACCCTTTCAACTAACAAAATGTGAACAGCTTTTAGAGCTTTTTACAGTTTTATAATTAACAAAAATATAGTTTTTTTAAACCCTCAAATTAGGGTACCCTAATCAAGGCAAAAAACTTAAGAAATGGCTTACCGTTAGCACAACACTTGTACAGTACTACGAAATGCACTGTCACTAACAAAGACCTTAGCGGCATGCGAAGTGTCACCTTAAACAAAATATACAATAACTGAAATGCTAAAGGCATTTACATGGAGCTGAAGGGAAGAAGGGGGGAAAAAAAGCTAAAGGTTCAGTATCGTAACAGATAATTTGGGGACTGAACATCCTCATTATTCGTTTAGACGGGGGCAGGCACAGCACGTGGCTGCCACAGAATTGCAGTCCAAAGAGAGAGGCCTTCCTTTGCAGAGAATTCACATGAAACGAACAGAAACAGAGGGACCACGGAAAGGAAAACGCAACGGAGGGGAACAGCGTGGATAAGGCTTTCTGCTGCATACAGCTTTTTTTTTTTAAATAAATGGTGCCAACAAATGTTTTTGCATTCACACCAATTGCTGGTTTTGAAATCGTACTTTCCAAAGACAGTTGTGCAGATCAATCCAATGGTGATGCCAGTTAGGTTCTGCGACTCCCCACTTAGCCTACCTTCGCATGTAGGATCCATTGAGGGGCTGCTTGGACATGCCGGTGTTCATGTAACCGTGATGTCCGGGAGCAGTGTACATCATATTACTGTGGGGTGGTGTCTGCATTGGCTGCTGTGCATATGGCTGGGTTCCCATCATGCCCATCTGCATCTGCATAGGGTACTGGGGAGTTTGATTCATGTAGCTGTGATTACTGTGGTAGCCACTGTTCATCATGGGTTGGGACATACTGTACCCGTTCATTGCATTGAGGGTGTTCATATTCATGTTCACGGAATTGACGTTGTAGGCTGGGGCAGGCATTAGGTTCACGCTCATGTTCATTCCGCGCTGCATGGCTAAAGTCCTTGCGGGGCCTTGCATGGCTACAGTCTGTGAAGTGCGCCCGTAGATCTGTGACTGGTGGGCTGCTGCAGCTGGTGGTAGAGATGCCGATTTGGTTCTCATGGACACGTGGCCCTTGCTGGCAATCTGAGTTTGCAGTCTTTGGGTGTGAGAGATGCCAAGGTTGGACGCAGCCATATTCCGTTGCAAAAGAGGAGGTGGCAAATTCATTGGCGGAGGAGTAAGATTGGGGGGTGGGGTCATAGTAGCTTGTGCTTGGGGCCCCCCAGGGACAGAATGTGGAGACTGAGAAAGCTGAACAAGCCCTGTGTTACTCAAAGGTGTGGACAAAGAGGCACTGTTTGCATAGGAAGTTACAGCAGCGGAATGGCTGTAAGGCAATGAATGATCAATAAGAGTATTCGTTAACTGCTGCAGTTTGGCAAGGCTGAAGGTAGCTGATGGCTGAGGGTAATGCCCGGCCCCAAATTCACTCTGACCCATTCGTTCATACAGGCCAATGTTTGCACTGCCAGTCTCGGGGATTTCTGCTAGCTGCATGGGGGGGGTGAAATTGGCAGCCAGGCTGCACTGAGACAGCTGCTGGCTGCTACTGGGGGGCCTGTCCCCCACACAACCTTGAGGAGACTTGACATTGCAAGTAGGGGGAGAACTGATACTTGTTTGCTGCATCATGCTGCAGCTCCCATTCATGTTGGACATTTGCTGCGTGACCGCACAACTACTCTGGGTCAGATTACTGGACGTGAGGCTGCTATAGGAACAGCTGTTTTGTGAAGAGTTATTTCCACAGATACTACTGCCCATGGAAGAATCATAGCTGCTTGGGTTTTCATAATTTTCAGTGGTGCTCTCAATACTACCCAGATCACTAAATCCACTGTCTACAACTTGTTGTGAATGATCTGAAACCGAGGGAACATCCATCATTGGGCTGGTTTCCATGTTCTGCAAAGACGGCACAGAGATGGCACTTTGATCAGGGCTGATCTGAGGGTAGCTGTTTTCCAAGGCGGGAACACTTGGACTATTAACAGAACGAACTGACTGACTAGGATGGGAAGGGACAGATGAGACGGGGCTGCTGTGGTTGGACTGTTGGCAGTCATCCAGAGTGGCAATCTGTGGGCTTTGGTCTGCTTGCGAATAGTTCTGCAGGCTTCTGCAAGCCTCTTGAGTTTCAGTGCACTCCTGGAAGGCGTCATCCTGTCCAGTGTTTTCCTGGGTCAAAGACTGAACTGCCTGTACAGTCTCTGAGTCGATCTCCATGGTTTCTGGGGTCTCCTCTTTGAATTCGGAGCTTAAATCTTCACTCTTCTTTTGGTCCTGACCCTCTGCCAGTCCTTCTGGGCATCCCTCATCAGCCTCAGGCACATCTTCTGCATCTGCAGGAAGCTCCTTCGGCTCACTGCTGCATGAAGCTGCCAGGTCGATGCCACAGTCCATTAAGTGTTCCTGGTTTGAATGACCAGTTTGAACACTCAGGTCTAAAAAAGTCTCCTGGTTCTCCAACACTTCCTTGAAGGCTTCTCCCGAGAGCTCCTCTCTGTCCGCTTCTGTGACCTCCATGTGACCGTCATCTTCATCATCTGCATCGTGATCTTCATTATGGGAGGGCTCTTCCTCCTCCTCTTCCTCTTCTTCATGATCATCCAAATGCTCTGGACCCTCTTTTCCCACAAACAGCTCTGTCTGGTCTCTCTCTTGGCTTTTAGCACTGTCTGAGTCTCTTTCTACAGTTCTTTCTTCCTCTTCTTCTTCCTCTTCCTCCTCCTCCTCTGGCTTCATCATATCATTCTCTGATTTTTCAAAAGGTAACTTACCGGGGCTTGGAGGTATGGATGCCTCGCCTCCATTTTCATTTTGGGGCTGCATGGGCTGATCGGTTTCTTTTGCTGCCTCTTCTGCCACGACAGGAACGTGGCTTGGTTTGTCTTCAGTGGCTTCCTTCTGCTCTTCTCCTGTCCCTTGGTAGTCAGGCTCCATTGGAGTCTCAGGTGGGGTATACAAGTTCAGTTTAAAACCAGTCTTCCTGTCTTTGTTTTGCTTCCATTTAGATGGGCCACGCTTCATTCCTTTCGGCCATGCTTGTTTGCACTTTAGAGATTCTGGATTGTCTACACTGTCTTCTTTTAAATTATTTGAATTATCTGTGTTGTCTTTATGAGGTAATAGAACAGGGAAAAATATAAAAAAAAGAATCTTAGAAGGCATAATCATTAATATCTTGAACTTCCTTTTCCAAATTAATTAATAAAACACGGCCCTAAATTTAATATTTTAGAGGTTAAAACATACTAAAAAAAACCTTGTAAATAATAATACTTTCATATAAACTAAGTAAAAAAAAACTAAGACAAGAGCATTACATTAGGTGCACACGCACAAACTCTCTTTGCACACTCTCTCTCTCTCTCTCTGTTTCTGTCTCTCTCTGTCTCTCTGCCATTAGGAATAAGGGCAATATCAATACCATTACAGTAGCTAATATATGCAACTGCAATATTAATAAAGAATGACATTTAAAGAGATAAAAACTCCCCTATCGTAATAGCCCCTAGTACTACAATGTTAAAAAGACAATTTTATCAATGAAAGTTCAGGAAATATACAAGTTAAAAAGGTTTATATTAACCCAAATCATCCCTACATACTACTGCAGAGAACTACTTTAAAAGCTTAGGGTTACTTAGAAAACCTTAACTTCTGTTTTTCTTAAATTTGTATTCTTTTTTCTCTAAAACACAGACAACTGAAAAACTATTTGAATAGGAAACAAAGATTAATTGCCAGAGCTCCCTCACATAAAGATTTAATTAACAGACCATTTCTTTACATTAAATTATTTAAAGTGACATTCATAAATATAAATCTATTGATAACTCAGACAGTTGAAAAACTCTAGATTTTGACATTTACTAAATTAAAACGACCTCAAATGACATGAATATGACCTACATGTTCTCCCTATCATAAACTGTAAGCAGTGAAATAAACTAGTGAATAACTAAATATACCAAACTCATAGCTGCATCTCTTTGTGGCTTCTCATACGATGATCAGATTTATGTGCTATAAACTGAATAAGTGTATCTTCACATTTATTGGGACAGTTATACTACACCTGCTTCTTTTACCAAAGAGGCTGCCTGCAATACTCTGGATCAGTCACTGTCAAAAGGAATACCAAGGGCACCAGAAGTCGGCTTAGTTATGGAGCTTATTATTTTGGTTCGTTGCTTTACTTTGATCGCGATGCATTTAAAAAAGTATTTCTAAGGGGCAGCGAGGTGGCGCAGTGGAGAGAGCACTGGCCCTGAGGTCAGGAGGACCCGAGTTCAAATCCAGCCTCAGACCCAACACGTGACACTGACTAGCTGTGTGACCCTGGGCAAGTCACTTAACCCCAACTGCCTTAAAAAAAAAAGTATTTCTAACTCTTCTTAAAACTGAAGTTGATAAGGGGTTTAAATCTGACTTCACTTACTAGCTGTGTATATAAATACTAGCTATCATCATCATCATCATCATCATCATCATTATTATTGTTATTATCTTGAGGATCAGACTCTTGTAAGGGCTAACTTAAGGTAAGAAAAATTTCATTAACAGCTCTGTTGGGTGTGTCACTTTGGTGAGGGTAAATAAAAATTAATCAATTTGGAAAGGAGATTTTCTTTGCCGGAATATACCTGTCTCCCACTCAACCAATGCATGACAGATAAACCTCTTCATTCATGTGATGATAAAGAGATTATAGGTAGACTTACCCAGCAAGTATTACTTTCAAATCTGCTACATGGAGAGAATGTATAAATGATATAAAATAGTTCATTTTGTAGCAACAAGCATAAAAAACTTAACACTAATCATTATCTCAGGTCTTGGAAAAAAATCTCTTATTTTTATGCATTTTAGGAGAGCAACAACAAAGCTGATATTATCAGATTCCACTTTTTTATCTTAGCTGCTATTACAACTAAATTAGCTAATGTAGAAACATCATTTCTCCAAAACAGAAAGTGATTCTTTAAATAATTCGGGGGGGAGGGAGAGATTGAGATTCAGAAATCTAAGATCACTTAAGATTTTTTAAAGACAACTGGGACAAAGATGAGAATGAAAAGGTATAATATTAGTCATGTAGAAAATGATCAGGATTATTTATCGGACATGAGAAGCAGCAAGTCAGGAACTGGAAATACATTTAGGTTTTTAAAAAAAAAATGATCTCTCTGACCCAGGGTATTCCCCAGCAAAGTAGATTTCAACAGTTTTTAAAATCTAGGTTATGGAAGCAAGCAATATGTGCTTTTGATCTTAAAACTAGGTTCTTAAAAAAATAAAAAACAGAATGATTTCTGTCATTTTTTGAGGGCAATGAGATATGCTCATTATTCTCTGACTGCTTCACATACACAGTACTTTTAGTGGTGGGGGTGAGGGTGGTAGAAGGGTTGAAGATGTGTTTATTAAGGAGCTCAATCCATATGTTTTTATATTTAGATGAGGACCAACTTTCCTAAAATCACAAAGGATTAAAGCACAAACACACTGATGCAGAAATTTTTAAGGAGGGATACGAGGCCTCCAATTCTGCTTCATTCTACCAAAGAAATGTGGTTGCAGTTGATGCCCAGGGCACCACAAGTGAGGATCAATATTTACTGAAGTGTTTAGCAAGATTTCTAGTTCATAGACAATTAACACTTTTGAACTGGACCAGCCTGACCAAAGCAAGGAATACTATTTCCTTTCTCACTCAAGGGATGATCAAGAGAAGACTTGATGACATCGTCAGGGATATTACCGAAGAAACTATTTTTCAGGTGTGGGTTGGATTGGATGGCCTCTACTGGACTTTCCGCTCTGAGATTCTGTGACTCAACCTATGAAAACGGTTTCTCTTCTCCTGACTGGTTCTATGAGGGAAGAAGAACCAACAGATCCCACTATTCCCAAGGCTAAATGGAGTCCTCTTGTTCTCTGTAGCCACACATCACAGGAAGAACGCTCGCTCTAAAGAGCATGTCAGCACATTGTTGAATAGAAGACAGGCAGAGAGCAGAGGAGAGACGTGCAACACACAAAAACATTAACAAAAAAAGGGGAAACCTCCTTTCAAGCCTCAAAGCCATGACCACTAAAAAGAGCACGGTCAGATGGTTCTAGTTATTATAAATGGCTTTTAGTGATGAATATCAAAGTTCCAGGGTTAACCCTAAATCTGGAGAGTGAGGTTAGCATATCCCAAAGAACACTCTTACTCTAGGTTACTCAGCAGCAAACTTAACTTTAGGAAGAGGAGGTGAACTCTCCATTTCCTGGAAAGTCTTAAAGAATATGGCAGATAACTGTTTAGGTGGAGGACAGAAATGCAGTTTCATAGATGTCTTTTAGTCTTTAAGATGCTACTTCTTGGATTTCAGCTAGTCACGAAAATGCAATCACAGTGATTTTGTTAAACAAAAGAGCCAATTCTACTTACTCCTACAAGGGTCATCATTATTAAAGCAATGATTGTCTTTCTCTTCTTCCTCATTTTGTCTCTGTTTCCCAGACTGAAACTGGAATACTTTTCTCATGGCAGGTTTCAAGTCATCTTCTTCTCCCTCAATTTCACAGGTAGGCTCCAGCTGTGGCATGGGCCGCTCATCATCGGAGTTATCAAATGGCTCATTCAACACTTCTGTAGTTTCAGAAATTGTCTCTGTTGTGACACTGCTATTGATCCTTCTACGCTTACGGCCCCTTTTCTTCTTCACTATAAAAGGTCTCTGGAAATTCGAAACATAATGTCTGAGAATTAATAAAACCTTCACTGACAAATAAAAAGAACATTCACACCAATCATGTTAAGAGGGCAAAAATGATGTGCTTTTCCATTTGACATCTATTAGCGGTCTTTCCAGGCCATAGACACAATGGAAGAGAATTTCCAAATACACAACAGTATCCTTAAAAAAATGATTTAAGAGGGAAAATTTTAACAGCCCAAACACGAATTACAAAAGCAAACCTTTACTTCTCTGGCACATATCCTAAATGGAAATATTGATTTCAATCACTGTGGTCCCATAAACTTTAGTATTAGAGGAATTATGGAAAGCCAAATGTTTCAAATAAATATTTCACCAGTTCATTCATTGTTCACTGAGAACACTCATTCTACAGGTAACAAGTATTTATTGAATACATACTAGGTATGAGGTCCTATGAGAAATACAAAGATGACTCAGACCTTGCCCTCATTTTCACAGGATTTCAATGCCTATGAAAGGGGAACACTAGACTGGTAGTTGTACAACAAAGATCAATGAATAAAATCGATTCGAGGCCTGTCAATTTTACCATTGTAAATCTCCCCTATACTCACTCTCTCTCTTCTTTCCTCTGACAATGTCATCACCATGGTACAGGCCCTCATCACCTCATGCCTAGACTACTACAATAGTCTAGACTGTTGCTGGTGAGTCTCCACGTCATAAAGTCTCTCCCCACATCGATCCGTCTTCTACTCTACCAAACTGTATGTCTTCCCACATCCCCCGTCCTCCCCCCCTTTTCAATAAACTCCAGTGGCTCCCTATCACCTCCAGGATCCAATATAAAATTCTCTGGCATTCAAAGCCCTTTATCACCTGCTATCTACCCCCCAATCCTTCCAGTCATCTTACACCTTCTGTGATCCAGTGCCCCTGGCCTCCTTGCTATTCCTTTAACATGACACTCTGTCTCCCAGCTCTGGCCATTTTCAGCGACTGTGCCCCACGCTCTCCTCATTTCTAGCTCCTGGCTTCCTTGAAGTCTCCCTACAGTCTCACAGTCTGACCCCCTCCCTCTTTTAATTCCAGTGCCTTTCCTCTATTGATTACTTCCAACTTATTCTCTAGCTTGTTCGCACACAGTTTTTTTCATGCCGTCTCGCTCATTAGACTGTGGGCTCCTTGCGAGAAGGGAATGTCTTTTCCCTTTCTTTGTCTCCATAGAATTTAGCACAGTGCCTTGCACATGGTAGGCACTTAATAAATGTTTATTGTCTGACTGAATCCAAAACCAAAACAAATCTACAAAGCCACATGTCATCCACTGCTAGAATGTGGGCACTCAAGTGGTTTGGTAACTGTTCTGTTTACTAACAGAGGAACAGTCTAAATAAAAAATATTTAAGGTACATGTATGGATACTACTTCTTCCAAAAGCTGGTACTGCTTATATCCAAGAAATGCTTTTGTCTCATTTATTTTTCTTCATCATCCTAGGCTGAAACTAAGATTTTCTTAAAAACCAACCAACCAATGAAACCCCATTGACTATTACATTAACACCTTCTCCCAGTTCATACTGGCCTTTTACCCCAAACCATGATCATATGGGTTCCCCACCACCCACCCACCCCCGGAATAAAAGCCATTGGATTATATACTGAATGAAGAAATTGATACAGACTCCTAGATTTCGAGCTGGAAGTGATCTCTGAGCCATCTAATTCAACACCCTGATTTTACAGACGAATAAACTCAGGACCAGAGCCGAAACCAACGTTCTTTCCACTGACCTACGTATATGCCTGCTGCTAAGATGCAACTCACCAACAAATGAGACACAGACAGATGATGTTGGTAACATCTAAGAACGGCAAAAACTGAAGTTGCTTCTAAGTACTTGTGATGTACAGCATTACTGTGTTTTCGGAAGCCTAGGAACAATTCAATATGCTTAAGATTTAAACTACAGGGGTAACATTTTCTAAAAACCTATTGCTTCTGGCCATTATGAAGGTAAAATGATCAGAGAATATTCCCTAATTGTCCACTGAGGCAGAGCTATCTGTCTGTCTCCTAATCCCATTCTGTAATCTAACATTTATGGATGTCAAACTCCAAATCTACCAGACAAAATCTAATTTATTTAAAGTATTTCCCAAACAAGTAAATAAACCGACGTAAACAGGAACTGATTTTCTCTCTGTTGTAAATCCTTTAATGTAGGTCATGTCTTTGGAGCATATGGCTTTTCTGGAAGTGGGAGAAAATTCTATTTAGCTCCAAAAAAAAAAAGCATGGTCTAATGGAAACAACTCTCAGATTAAAGCCCCAAGTTCTGATCATCAGCCTGTCAAAGACCATGGTCATAATTCTGTGTGACCTTGGGGAGGGCAGTTAACTGGTATGGTGCTTCCTCCATCTGCATAATAGAGATAATAGTGTTATGTGGCCCCAACATCACAGGGATACTGGGCATGCCAATGAAAGGGATAAGAAATGTACTTTGCTTTGAGCAATCTGAAAAGGTGCTATAGAATGATAAAATCTTATTGTTAGCTCACTTATGACTTCTGGATAAACAGTCCAGACCAAAGAGGGGTGTGTGTGTGTGCGCGCGCGCAACGTCGATGTTTCCTAACTCTATTATTCTATGAATGCCAAACATCTCTAATAAAACCGTGGTTCTGTAATACCAAGCAGAGGTCAAGCAGAAGCAAGACTATCACAAGCATTAGCCTGGAAGTCAGGAATCCTGGATTCTGGGCCCAGCTCTTGAGCTGTGTGACCTCTGGCAAACTAACATTTCTGGGTCTCATTTTCCTAGTGTGTAAAATAAGACTAGATTAGACAATCAGGAAGGTCCCTTCTGGTGTTAACAGTCCATGACTTGATCTTGGCTGGACTACTTTAGACCAGCAGGTGGCAGTCATTTTACTAAGCCATAACCTGGAGCTTTTGTCAGCACCCCAAACCTCACAGGGTAAACAGAATCATGTATGCAAGATAAGGAATGATGAAACAGAATGGGAAAGAAACCATTAATCCTAAGAAATAAGGAAAGAGCAAAAGCTAATGAATGGGATGTCTGAAATCACAAGCAGACTGGGGAAGAAGCTGATTGAAGTACCCACGGCCCAAGCAGAAAAGATACCTTTCTCTTCAGAGCAAGTGACTGTGGTTTTGTCAACCGAGGAGGAGAGCTCCGGTGATTTTCTTCCTCTTCCTCCTCTTCCTCTTCTTCCTCCTCCTCTTCTTCTTCTTCTTCCTCTTCTTCCTCTTCACTGCTATCTTTAATTGGCTCTGTAGACGGCCCTCTGTCTCCTGCTATGGGCACATTCTCTGGAGACCGCAAATATTTATTTTTTGATTGTACTTTTGCAGGTGATTGCCTACTATTAGCTCTTGTTGATAAAATTTCTTGATCTTCTTTTTCCCAGCAGCTAGCCTGTTCCATCAGACGTTCAGCCTGGTGGAGAGAAGGTTAAAATCATGGGCCCATGAAGCAACATTTACTTAGTGATAAGCTTTCAAGTTCAATGAAATAGTCATTCTAAGTCAACTCTGATTAGCACTGCTAGCTAACCAAGCAATATTTCAACTGAATCATCTAGTGACTCTTTTGCAATAGTTAGGATAACAAACCAAAGAAGATTGTGTTTCATGGGATATTTAGCACCATTAATGATGCATCGAATTGATTTAAGTCTTTTATCACTACATTACATGCTCACTGGTATGGATCACTTTAAGCAAGTTCATAAACACAAAGAATCAACTGACATCTCAGCCTTTGAGCTCAACACCAAATTTTATCTGATTATACACTGTCACACCACTTCAGTAGTGAAAAAGGTAGCTTTGTGACTGAGGATAAATGGTTTATTTTTCAAATTTGAGCCTGCAAAATTATCACATCTTACCACACAACCTCAGTTAGGACAAATTAGTGCCATATCATTTCACAAGCTATCTTCACTATAACAAAGCATTTCACAATGATGTTAATGCCTTACTTAAGCTACCCTATTACTGAACGCTGTTAAGATTGAAGCCAAGCGACTGAAAATGATGATGCCACTTATTACCTCTTTTTCAGCTTCTCGTTCCTCTTCAGAAACTGCAGCGTTAGAAACTAACAATGGTGTCCACCTCAGACTTTCTGGGTCAAGTTCATTTACACGTGCATTGGTTTTCAGTTTTTCCATATGGCCTAATATCAGTTTTTCTCTTCTAATTATCACAAATCTGTAACAAGATAAACCAGAACAAGATGGAACTGAAAGCTGAATTTACATTTCACTTCAATATACTAACGCAATAATATAATTTTGATAAGGAAATATCTGAGAAGATGTCACTTAAAAGGCATAATAACCACTTGCAAGCAGAGCACATTCTTGTTATAGCAATCCGTATAAACAAGGCCATGGTGAGTCAAAGTTAAGTTTTTTCCATCTTCAACCTAAGCGTGCACACCCTATTCCCATCACCCACAAGGACCTTTATGGACTATATGCCTGTGATCATTTTAATAACATGCACACTTCTTCAGGGGCTTGGAGTACTCACTTTTCTTCCCTCTTGTCAATCATCCTGAGATGCTGCAGAGTGGTGGCAATATCATGAGGACACATGCCAGTGGCCCGGCTTATTCCTTTGATGCTGATGTGTTTTTCATGGTGGTAATAAAGGTATTCTAAAATAACGCTTTTCCAATACGCCAGATAGGAGAGACGACCCAAATCAGATAGTGGCTTTTCAGGAGATCCTGCTTGTCCCTCTCTTCTAGAAAGCAAATAGCCTAGGAGAGAAAAGAGGAGGAAAAAACTGATTGTGATGCCTTGAAATGTGAACATGACAGGCACTGGAAACAATACCTAAGGGAGGCAACCTAGTACTGTGGAAAGAGAACTGGGTTCAAACCCTAATTTTGCTATTAATTAGCCATGTGACTCCAGGCAAGTCATTTGACCCCAGGCAAGTCATTTGACCTCTTCAGTCTTCAGTTCTTTCATCAGCAGAATAAATGAGGGAGTTGGAATGGTCCTTGAATTCTTTCTAGTGCAAACAATTTACAAAAGTAAGATAAAGCTATATAGGAAGCAAAGTAAAACTATTTTTTATACCATGAAGATGGGTGATTTCTGTGAAACTTCTTTTTAAGTCTCTTTCAAAAGGTAGTTAGTAATTATAGATAATATTCATGTAGTGCTCTGTCTGCAGGGCGCTTCTACACAGAATATCTCACTTGAATCTCACTACAATCCTGTGAGGTGGGTGTTATTAGTATCCTCATTTTGCAGAGGAGGAAAATCAGTGTTTTGCCCAGGGTCACACAGCTATTAGGTGTCTCAGGAAAGATTCAACAAGTTTTTCCAATTTCCCCTCTACTCTTCCTATACCATCTAACTGCCTTCCATCAGATAATTCATGTGGCAGAAGCATTACAAACTTACATCAAGAAATAGTTAACAGACCAAAAGACAAGACTAAAGATGTAGTCTCAATGAATAACAATTTTCTCAGTGCCTTGGATTTAAAAAAAAAATACTAAATGTCACTCAGAAATCATCCCAAAGAGAGCATCACAGATAATTAGTAGGTAAGTTGTCTTCCACAGCAAAGCCCAATGACCCTTTGACAGCTGTTACTTTTTTTTTTTAAAAAGATCTCTATTGACTTAGATTCTATTTTCCTTGTTATATTCAACTAATGGGTTGATCTGCTGCTTTAAGTGGACTAATAAAAGGCATGTCTTTTATGTCAAAGAATATAGCTCCTATCGGCTCCAGCAGCTCTATTTTCAATTATTTTAGGGAAGTATGTGTTGCTGTATAATATGGTGATCTAGTCCTAAAGCACTCAATATTTGAGCATGCTATGTCCGTTATGTTTCATTTAGCAAGGGAGACTTAAAAAAAAAAAAGGGAGAAATTCCAAATAAAAGGCAGAAGAAATCTAGTTGAAGGTAGGTAATGAAGGAAAGCTGGTGGCTGTCAACACAATGAAGAGTCACTTAAGCAACAATGCAGAAATGCTTCAAACTAGTGATGTTTACTTTTCTATGATTAACAGTTTCACCTTTATGGACTCCTTAAAGTTAAACATGGACCACATACAATAGGTGGCAGCAATTATTATTTACCCTATCTCAAGAGTCATCTCAAACTTGAGTACTTTTCTTTTTCATCTACATTTCCAAAATGGCTGCATTCTCAGAAGTTCTCTCATATTGGGAAATTCAGTGTTTTTTAAGCCCAAATCTGCAAAGTCTTTTTCCTCACCCACAAATCTACTACAAGGAATGCTTAAAAATATACAAATTCATAATGCTGAACCAAATCCATCCCTCTTCCTCATTTTCCTGGTTTTAATCACAGAACTACTGGTGAGGATACAGAACATGCAAGAGTATTTAACTTTAGCTATGGTAAAGGCCATTTGTTCTGGCTTATCTACTTATCTTCCCACTGAAATTTAATGTATTTTATTTAAGACAACCAAATAACACACCAAAATATGTCACAGATGAAGGACACGCGATGTAATTTTACACAGAAGTTGCTGACATGCAGTGTGTTAAGAAGGCTAACCACATATAAAGCCAATTTACCGAATCTTACCTAGAGAATTTGTCACCGACGCAGATAATTGGCTTAGTGGTAACAGAACATCTCCTGTGGGTGTCAAAACCTCTTGGCATCAAGATAGTCAGCTTATTAATCAACAGATCAATCACTCACTATGTGCTAGGCTCATGGTGGAGGGCTGTGAGCTGCTGCATATATTAGGCTTACAAAGACCTACTGAAATGGGAATAACTGAAGGAGATCTTTTCCAAGTTAAAGTCACCCAACAGGTCTTTGTCTCTCTAGATTCGTATGGAGGAAGAACCAAGTGGGAAGTTTTGGAACTGCCTTTCTCTCATGGCTTCTAATACTGAGAACTATCTGGGATAGCTGTGAAATCCCCAGGGGCACCCTAATCCAGAACTGAAAGAATCTCTCGTAGCCTGGCAGAATGGATGACCTAAAAGAAACTGTTAATAAAGTGAAGTGAGTCTTCAGAGTAACAATAGTTCTCATTTTTACAGTTTACACTATACTAATTAAGTTGCTCTGAGCAGTCTTGTGAAGCATGTAGTATAAGCACTAATATTTCTATTTTACAGAGCTGGAAGCTGAGGTTAATACTTAGCATCACACCGCTCCTAGCTGTTAGAAATGAGATTTGAATCCTCTTTTTCTGGCTTTAGGTTTAGGGTTCTTTCTTCTACATTTGAAATCACAGGCATTCTTCCTTCTGTAACCTTTTTCTTCCTTTATGACACCCTCTCTCACCAAGTCCCCAGGGTCCTCATATATGTCCCTTGTGCCACACCTGTATTTACTCTCTCCAGATGCTCTTATGCTCCAGATTATTCTGTCCTGTCATTCTTTCAGGTCCCTACACTCTTCAAGGTAACAGGCAGATAATCTGATGGACTACTAAACTAGAATTTTAATGTGTTATTCCTTCTCATATTTTATCAAGATCTTATTTCAAAGGAGTGAGTTCATTAGCAAAAATGTGGCAACTTTAGAAGATGACAGAAGGGGGAATACTTATAGGTAGGTGGACTTTTCAGGGTCCTAAAAAGTGGCTACATGAACCAGGAGAACACTGTACATACAAACAGCAATACTGTACAATGAACAACTGTGACTGACTTCATTATTCTCAACAACAAAATGATTCAAGACAATCCCAAAGGACTCAAGATGAGAAGTGCTATCTATCTCCAGAGAAAGAACTAATGATGGACTGTCTGAATACAGACTAGAGGATACTATTGTTCTTTCTCTCTTCCTTTCGAGTTATTTTTCCCCACACAATGACTAACATGGATATATTTTACACAATTACATACGTATAACCTGTATCAGATTGTTTACTATTTCAGGAAAGGGGGAAGAGAGAGGAGGAAAGGGCAAGGAGGGAGGGATAGAATTTGGAACTCAAAGCTTAACAACATGTTAAAAATTGTTTTTACGTGTAATTGAGGAAAAAATAAAATATAAAAAAAAGAATTAAAAAATTCTAAGCTAAAAAAAAGTGGCTGCCTCTTTTAAGTCCGCTAAGGGTCAACTCCAAAGTTCCCCAATGATTGATACTGTAATGAAAGTCCTAGAGTCTGGAGTATATGACAAGAGGGGAAGGTGGATGGGGTTTGAGTGATCTAATCAGTCTGATGAATGCAAGTACTGAGCCATACTCCAGAGGACCTGTGATGAAGCATGTGACTTATCTCCTGACAGAAAGGTGACTGATTCAAGGTACAGGCACATACCTTTTTGGACATTTATTTTACTGGAGTATGCCTATTTTTTATAAGGGCTCCCCCCCACCCCCGCCCCGTTTTGGTTCTTAATTGGGAATGGAGGTAAAAGCGTGATTAGCAATAGTGCTGACCCAAAAATGCCCAGAAGAGGACAGAAGGAAGTTCAGAAGGAAACACAGAAAAGCAAGATAGCTTTGAAAGTAACATGATGAATTTATTATATATTTTTAAAGACAAAATCAAGCTACACATAGTAGAAATGTGGTTTTACATGTAATTCCATTTTTTCTGTTTTTGTATACAGAATGGCTCTAGCTGGCGTTCGTTAAATTGAGAATTAAAAAAGAAAAGGAAAGAAAAAGATCTGGAAAAAAAAAAGAAATGGTTATGAAAAGGTTATTTAGGAAAATCTGGGTTCCCATTCTCACTTCACTACCCATAGTTAATCAGGAAAAGTGATGCTTCTTGAACACAGGAGAAAATTCCAAACCAAAAACCTAGGCTGAGAAATATTAGACAAGTATGACTTGTGTCAACATTCATCAAGGTCATTAACTAAAGTGCTATCATGAAATACTGCATTGGTGAGAATAATGTGGGTGAGAATTTGATGAGAATTATTTTCCTTTTTCCTCCTCCTAAAACCTTACTGATAGAATTTACAGTCAGTTCTCTCATACAACTGACTAGGAGTAATTTCCTAAAAGTAAGAAGGCAAAGCAAGCCCAGATCTTTGTAGTTATCAAAAGACTAACTGACAATTTCCAAGTTTCAAATGTAATCTGTTTGGACTGTCATAATAATGATGCTTAGCATAAAGCCTTAATATGCTAAAACTTTCTGTATGAATGATAATAATTATTAGTATGATAGCTAACTTTTTTTATAGCGCCTACTACGTACTAGGCAATGTGCTAAGAGCTTTATAAATATTATTTCAATTGATCCTCACAACTCTGGGAGGTAGTTGCTGTTATGATCTCCATTTTAAAGATGAGGAAACTGAGGTAAACAGAGGTAAAGTGACTTGTCCAGAGGCACACAGCTAGTAAGCTGGATTTGAACTCAGACCTTCCTGACTGCACTACCTCGTTTAGAAGAAAAGCTACAATTCCACAATTTACACAGCACTCTTTAGATTTTCTAAAAGCTCTGCCAGGTAACTTCCAGCTCTAAATCTAGCATCCTATGATCTGATTTATGCAAGGTGTGCCTTGCATAAAGGTGTAAGTAAATAACACCACGCCATGTCATTAAGTTTCCCTTCAATAAATAAAAGATGTTCTTCTAGTTGGGGGGGGGGGAGCTCTCCCTTTACCCCCAAACCTGCCATTAATTCTACCACTTTGAATTCAGGTGCATGGAACGCTTCAAATTGTTATTTCTTGCCACTCAATTTCTCTTTTACCTTTTCCTTGAAGCTTCTTATCACACTTATGAAAGAATCAATTAATAGATTAATTTTTTACGTGGCAGTATTT